GTCGATGACAACAATAAATACCACAACATCACATGTGGTGGATTCACTCTCATTGTTGATGAAAAGTGGCTCAAAAACAACACAAAGTGCACAGACAACGGTGTTGTGCACTTCAACAAATCATCAACTTTTGTTGCAAACACCAACATCACTGCCGTTGAAAAGAGAAACATCACCATCACCAACACAATGGCTCACAACTCAACACTCAACTCAACCAAATTCGACAAGTGGAATGTCACAATCACAGACTTGAGAAACACAACACTCATCAACACAATATTCACAAATTCATCAATCAACCAAACAACTGTTACACTGGCTAAAATGACAGGTCTCCGATTTGTGAATGGAAGTGTGAGTGATGTTGATTTCAAACAGAGTGTATTCAAGTCATCACTCTTCTCAATGTCAAACATGTCAACACTCTCATTCATCGGTAAACACAACAACATCACAAATGCATCACAAACAACAAGTCTGCTTGCATCTGTTGTCTTCTTCAAATGCAACATGTCTGATATCACATTCAACAAAGTGCAAATGAGAAACGTGACATTCTTCAACAACACTTTGAATGACGTTGTCATCAGAAACGTCAATGCAACCAACACAACTGTGATCAACAACACACTCACAAACATCGAATTCAAAAACTCACACTTTGAAAACTCGACTTTCAACAGCTCAACAATCCATGGCGTGCTTTTTGACAACACAACTTTCATCAATTCAACTTTGATACTCGCTGGAAATGGTAACACAACATTCCACAACGTCACACTCATCAACACAACACTCAACAATGTCAGTTTCGCAAACATGACTGCAAACTACAAAATCACACAAAAAGGTGCTGTTCAATTTGAGTCTGAAAACAAATCAACCAAAACAGTTGCCATAATCATTGGGTCGCTTCTTGGGGTTGTTTGCGTTTTTGCAATTGGAAGTGTCATTGCAGGAGTCGCCATATTCATCAAGAACAAGAGACATCACAATGCTTCAGAGTACACCAAGTTGACTCTCTGAGCCAATTAATAATCATTTTTGATTTATATTATTTGTTTCAATGGTTATTGAAAAACAATTTTTTTATTAATTTATATTTCTTTTTTTATATTTTATATTTGTTCTGTGTTTGATCTTTTGTGTTATTCTTGTTGTATATAATATAATAAAAGTTTATTATCACTTAAAAAACATCATTTTTTTCTTTAAAAATATTTTGCTTTAAAAATGTTTATAAAATAATACATTTTTAAATATAATTTCGCTTATTCAAAAAAAGAGGGAAAATGTGTATTGTAATACACACGAAAAAACCCGATAAACAAACAAATATTTAAGTAACATAATTGTATATTGCTATCTAATTTTAAGTCTCATTTCTAAACAATTTACGATTGGAGTTAAAATATCAAAAAACATAATTATCGTCAAGTAGTATCGCATATAAACAATCTCTCATTATAAACAAACCGGAGAATAGTCGCTTTGAAAATCGAAGATAACTCGTCGTTGTTTTCTTCAATTTCTAAAACATATACGCCATCGGCTAAATTCTTTTTCTTATCCAAAGTCGTATAAAAGAAATGCAAACTTTGTCAAGACAACGTATAAGATATCTACCACAAAGAACGCGATTTTTTTGCGAACCCACATAAAAAAGTACGACAAGGATTTAACATAATTTGTGTTTGGTTTCATCCTTTTTTCTCTTTGAATTCTTGAATCGACTTTTGTGTTATTTGTGTAATGAATGTGTCGACAATTTCACCGCGACCCCAGAAATACATCTCAACACCCCGTTTTTAGGTCATGCACTAAAGGTAAAAATACTTCAGAGCAAAGCGACAACGCTTTTTTCCCATTGACCGTCAAAAATATAATATTTTTTTAATCAGTTTCTTAAAATTGGTTTGATTTTTAGTTTGAAAACAAATAGATACTATTTTAATTATTTAACAAATGAAAAATTTTAACAAAGCACTTGTTATAAACACTCAACAGCACAATTACATGCTATTTACATTTGGGTAAAAAACTGATTTTTAACTCAAGTTTACATTTCTAAAATGTGATATTTTTCATTCACTGTTTTTACTACAAATTGCAATGTGATTGACTGATTTTGGTGAAACACATTAAATTCAATAAATGGTGTTAACAAGTCTGTTTAATGATTTTGGAAAATAAAACAGAACAATGAAGGTTTAATAAGACGTGGTGAATCAACGACAAATCATTTAAACACGTAAAAGCTATGTTTTTTTCGTTTTATTTTTTTTGCACTTGGTAAATAATTGATTGTTTTGATAATTTAATTATATAGTTTGTTTTACTATATTTATAATATTAAAAAATAAGTAGTCAATTCCCGAAATATTAAATGAGTATTTGAATACACTTTTAACAGGAAGTGTTTTTTTCAAGTGTTAAACGAGTAAACAATTAAAATTTTACATAAAAAATAATTTTTTATTTTTTTTTCTAATTTTTTTTATAATTATCTCAATAAACCAATAAAAATGTAAATAACCACAAGTAATTCGTTTAATTTTTAATATTATCGAACAAACAATTAACTATAACATTTTTAATAAAACAATTTTAATTTAAAAAAACCAAACAGTTATTGGCATTTTTATTTAGTAATTAATTATTAAAATTAAAAATTTATTTTATTTTATTTAATGTTTGTTATTTTTTAAAAATTTACAATAAAATAGCAAATTATTCATTTGATGTTAGAAACACGAATGCTTCTATTTTTTCTTTTCTTGTTCTGTTCATCAAAAACAATACAAATCAGTCTGACTGGTAATGTAACTTCTTTGAAGTCTGCATGTTCACAAGCACAACCCGGTGATATCATTGAATTTGCAAGCGGTGTTTATCCTCCCCAATTGATTCCCAAAGACACAATGGGTTCATATACAAACCCAATAATAGTTCGTGCTGCTCTTAATGCCAAAGTGACGTTTGAAACAACTAATGGTGGATATTATACATTGCGCATTGCAAATTCGTCCAATATACAAGTAAAAGGTCCATTCACTTTACGAAGTGGGACTGGATATAACCTCGACTGTGTCAATTGTACTAACGTTACAGTTTCAAATTTTATGATATACAATTCGACGAAATGGGCGATTTCAGTGACTGGAATTAACATTGTGGTCAGTAACAATTTTATCAGTGGATGTATGTTAATAACAGAAAACTGCACAAAGTCTTTTTCTGCGCAGTGTGTTAAAACCAATGCAATAGTACCCAATATACCAGTTTTATCTTCTGATGTCACCTTTGAAAATAATGAAATAGAGTATTCCTGGGGAATGGGAATTGATATCATCTTGTGCACAAATTGTGTAGTGAGAAACAATTATTTGCATGACATCACTGCAAACGCAATTTATATTGACAATGCTCACAACGTCGTTGTTGAAGGGAATAGAATCACAAGTTCTCATACTATGGTCTGTGGTGGGGAGACACATTTCCATGCCATTTCAATAGGAAATGAAGATTGGCCTCCACAGGTGTTAGCCACAACAAATATCACAGTAAGAAATAACTTTATTTGGGGATCGATGTTTGGGATTGCATATTGGGGATGGAGTACTGAAGCGTACTATAAAGACATCACAATTACACACAACACACTTTTCAATTTGAAATCAGCAGGTCTTGCTTTCCAGGCAGCTTGTAAAGTCAGAGGAAAAACAAGCAACAATCAGTTCAAAAACAATTTCATTTACACGAATTATAATTACTATGCGGCAAGAGTCAATGAGACCGACATACAATTTTGGAATATTTCGGATAATGTATACTTCGCGGGGTATAATAACATTTTAAAGGATTCATGGAACGGAACAGACGGAAATACACATTCACTACATTTCAAAGATAATGAAAGCTCGCCAATGAACTTTTGGGGTGGTGGAATCTATGGTAATTGTACCAATGAAAGTTATTATAAGTGGGATGTTGCGACGTATTGTTTTATACCGAATGAAAAATCAGTGTTGTATCACAATGGAGTACTTGCTACTTACACTGATTTAGACGGAAAAATACTAAAGGATTATTTTGGGTGCTCAAGAAGTAGAATATACCCAAGTATTGGGTTTGCTGAAGGTGTAGAAATGTGTAACATAAATGGTGACAAATATACAATGGTTATACTTATTGTTGTATTAGTACTACTTTTTGTGTGAGTTGTTGAACATAATAAAGTTGGTCCTTACTTCTCTTTTTATCAACAATAATAAAAGTGTTAAGAGTTTGATGTGAAAACTGTAATCTGTTTTAAATTTAACACAAAAATAGTTGCATTATAATGAATCACTCAATTGAAAAACTCTTATTCTCTTTGGTATAAATTCGTTTCCATCATTCAAATCACCAATTTTTGCATTATAACAAGTTGGTGAACATTTGTTTCCACTTATTCCCTTTTTCTTGATGCAAATGTCACGTGTATCTCTTGCCTCGTTTTTCCCAAAGACAAAAAGCCAATGATTATCCTTTACAGACACAATAAAAGCCCGATTTTGACCAAATTGTAGGTCAAATTTTATTGGATTTAAAATTCCGTTTCTAACAAGAGAAAAAATGAAAGATGTTTTGGTGTCGATCCAAGTATCAATGTTTATTTCGTCGTATAGTACACCTCCAAATTTGTTGTTTTGGTCATCTTCGACCAGAAAGAGTACATTTGTTTTGTTATTAATTTTATCACCAAACACAGACGTGTTTTTACTCCAGTCATCTGTGATTGAGTCGAATAACACATTTGAAATTTTTTGTTGTGCAATTTCTTCGAGTTTTTCAACTTCTTTTGTTTCGAAATCGAACACGGCTTCTTTTTGTGAATATTTGTTTTCTTTTTGTATTTTCAATAACTCTGAAATCTTTTTGTTTTTGATTTCTTCGCATTTTGTCACTTCCATTTGGAAATTGTTTTCGAGTGTGTTCTTTTGTAATTTAAATTCTTCTATGTAAAGGTTATTTAATGTTTTAATTATATTGTTGGTTTTTTCATTCATTGAATCAAGATATTGAAATGATTGTTTAATGTTATTTACAAATAATAAAGTCCTTTTTAATAGTGCTTGAGCTTCTTTACCTAATACAATTCCCTTTTGAAAATTTGAATCAAGTTTGTCAAATGCATTTTCGGCATTTTTTATTCTTTCAACAATGTTTTTTGTTGTATCATCTTCAAATGTGACGGTTTGGAGTTGAGCGTGAAACTCCCCATATATACCTTTGAGACTTTCTGATAATGCAAATATTTGGTCTTGAGCTGCTTTCATTTTCTTGTGTTTATATAATTGAAATAAAAGATAAGTTGGTTTTTTATATGTTTAATTGTCAAATTGAACAAAAATTACCAATAAAGTTTAATTAAATCAAATTATCTAATTAAAATTTTTATTTATTTTTAGAATATAAAATGAAAAACGGTTTAACTTATTAATTACTTTTACAAACTTTTTTATAGTTTAAAATTTATAATACAATAGTTATATTATTTTCATAATTTTTCTTTTCCATTAGAAACAATAAAAAAATTTTAATTGATTTTTTTAAAACAAACTATATATTATGGTTAAAATTATCATTTAAAAACAATTATTCAATTATTTTGTTTGTCATATTGTTTTTATTGTTTTTCATACCAAATATGTTTAATAACTGATATGATATAATTATAAATTAAGATTTGTATCTTTGAATACTTTTTAGTTGGCTTTGTTGAGTCAATTAAAATGTTAAATAAAACAATTTCATATATTAAAATGTATGAAATGATTTTATTATTATTACAATGAATATTGTTTTTTCACAAACTTCAAAAGAATATAAATGACACAGAAAATGCCACACCGTTTGATATCTCCTGATAATATAGAGTCTGAAGTTTTTGGTGTAATGGTTGGGCTTCTTTTAACACATCACTCTTTTCGATTTGAACGAACAAGACATTTGAAAGAAGACTCAATCCCGTTTTTAAGAATTAAATCGATATTTGTCGAAAGTGACCGTTCAGACGAAATAAATTTTCAAAAACTTATTGAAGCGAGAGGAAAATGGAAAATTCAAAATGAGTTAAACCAAAACAAACAACTCAAAACTGCAATGAGAAAAGAAATTTCTCTTCGTCGGATTGAAGCTTTTAACATATTAGAAGACATCCTTCACGAAGATGGTATTGATGTATATGTGGAGTTTCACACAACACGTGGAATATATGGAGAAGTGTTTTTCACAAAAGGTGAAACGACTATTCCTTTTGAAAAAGTGGAGAGTTTTGGTAAAAGAGTTATTGAAATTATCACTGCAAATGTCAATTCGAGAATTCCTTTTTCGTATGAAGATATCGAAAGACATGCAATGAGATGTTGTGTCCGTAAGTTAATGGGATGATATTAAAAGATTCCTAACAATGTCAATGTCTATATCAATTAAAAAACAAACAAATATTTCCATTATATCCATATTCTTTCAATTAACACTATTTATTATATTTGGTTTATTATTTTAGGTATTTTGAAATATAAATTAAATAATATAATATAATATAAATTCATAATCTGTTAAATAAGAAAAATTTAAAAACTCAAATACATCAATAATATGTCTTCTTGTGATTCTTCTTGTGAATCAGATGATTGTTGTTGTTGTGGAAATAATGAAGACTCTTCATACACCGAAGAAGATTCAACAATAGTTTATTCATTATTCTCAATACCCGAAGGAACCAAAACCCTAACGAAAAATTACTTTAAAAAACACACATTTACTCAAGCAGTTGTCCCAAATTTCGTTGAGTCAATTTCACAAGGCGTTTTCAAGTTATGTAAATCACTTAAAAGTGTCACTTTACCAAACTCCGTTACTTTGTTGGGAGAAAAATGTTTCAAATGTGATCACAATTTAAAGTCGGTTACTCTTTCCGAAAACTTGAGAGAACTTCCAGCCTTTTGCTTTTCAGACTGCAAAAAGTTGCGAGAAGTTGTAATACCGCAAAGTGTATCTAATTTGGGAGAGAAGTGCTTTTTTAATTGTGGCATCACAAAAATTACAATTCCAGCGACAGTGGAAATTATCAGCAAGACGTGCTTTGCGTCATGTGTGCGACTTGAAGAAATTGTGATCGACTCTAAAATCAATTTTCTTGAATCTGAGATGTTTGCTCGCTGTGAAAAGTTATCTAAAGTCACTCTTCCAACAACGGTGACTGCAGTTAAAGATTCTGTTTTTACTGGTTGTGAGAAATTGGACGTTTCAGTTCTTCTTGTTAATATTAAAAGTTTTGGGACAGAGTCTTTTAGTGGAACTCAAACGCCACAAGATTTATTTATAGACGGCAGTGTTTCTGAAATACCAATTGGGTGTTTTTCTTTATGTGAAAATATCACTAAAATTGTCATTTGTGATGGAATATCGACACTTGGAAGTAAAGCATTTTATGGGCTCAAAAATTTGGTTTCTGTGACGATTTCAGACTCTGTGAATTCCGTTGGAGACCATTGTTTTGAAAATTGCACAAATCTTGTTGACATTAAAATGCCAAAAAATGAAGTCAAAATCGCGAATTATCTCTTCAATCAATGCTCAAAACTTCATCATATTGAAAAGATTGAAAATGTCGAGGAAATAGGGAGATACGCGTTTTGTATGTGCAAAACACTTTTCAAAGAGTTTCCAAAGTATTTTAATAAAGTGAAAAGTATTGGTGAAAGTGCATTTTCTGAAGTTGGTCTTGAACAAGTCGTGTTGCCTCAGTCATTGACTTTTCTTGGGAAAAATGCGTTCTTTTCTAATGTCAAAATGTCGAAACTTGTTATTAACGAAAACGTGAAAAAACTTCCAAGATATTGTTTTGGAAAAGCAATTTGTTTGAAAGAAATAAATATACCAAGTACTGTAGAAAAGGTACAAAATCACTGTTTTTTCAATTGTGAACAACTTGAAAAGTGTACTGTGGGGGAAAATACTCTTTTTAGTGAAGAAGCATTTTATGGCTGTAAAAATTTGTTAGATACACCAAAGTCGTTATTTGCTCTATATAAATCAGATAGTAAAAAATATGATGTTAAAAAAGTTGTTATTCCAAAGGAAACAAAAATCATTTTAAGTGGCGCGTTTGAAGGGTCGGAAAATATTGAAGAAATTATTATTCATGAAAATGTCACTGCAATTCGTAAAACTGCATTTTCCAATTGCATAAATTTGAAAACAGTTGTTTTGCCAAAGTCCCTTAAAAAACTTGGGAAAACATTATTCAGTGGATGTGAAAAGTTGGAAAATGTTGTTCTTCCAGAAAATTTAGAAAGTATTCCACAATCGATATTTCAAGCGTGTTATTCATTATCAAAAATTGTCATTCCTAGAGGTGTCAAGAAGATTGGAAGTTTCGCGTTTTGGAGGTGCCAACAATTGAAGGAAATTATATTACCAGAGAGTCTTGAGGAAATTGGAGAAAGAGCATTTTATGGGTGTGAAATGTTAGATGCTATTGATTTCCCCAAATATGTGAAAAAAGTGAGTTATATGTCATTTATGGATTGTATAAATATTAAAAATATCAATTTAAATTGTGTTGAGGAAGTCGAACCATGCGCTTTTATGAACTGTGATCAAGTCGAAGAAATTCATATTGGGAAGGAAATATGTGTGATAGCACAACATGCAATTAATTATTCAAATTTAAAAAAGGTTTATTGCACAAAAGAATCTTTGGACTTTGTTCGTAATTGTTTTAATACAAATTATTCAAAGATACAGATAACAGTCGAGTAAATATGTCACGAATTATCAATAAATGATTTGGTATCATTTTTAATTTATTTGAAGATTTTGACATTTATTATTAATTCAAAAGTCATACTTTTTATATTTTTAAAACGCAATGTTGTTCTGTTATAATTAAATAAAATGATTTGACATCAAAACCATACCAATTTTATTCAAATTGAATAATTGTTGTACTTATTAAATATTCTTTTGAAACAAATAAAAATAAAATTGTTTTGCCAATAAAGTAAGATGATTAAATTTTAGTCATTATTTCAACTTACAATAAAACTTCTTACTGTAAACTTTATAACACAAAGAATGCAAATTAAAGCAATTTTTTCTGAAAGAAATCGTAAAACCTTTCGAACTTTTTCACGATTTAAATGCTTTTGTACAAATTAACAAGAAGTGTCAAATTGTTGTTTCAAATTTGGTCGTAAACCCAGCTTTTATTATGGTGGAAAATATTGAAAAATTTTATAAAATGTTCATCACTGATTTAAGATTTTCAATTTTAAATTGCAATGTATTAGACAAAATCAAATACATTCAAAATTTTTGTGTTTCAAAGTTTTCGCTAAACACGATGACCAACGATGATTATGTAAAAATACTATATAAAATTACTCACCTAAACTTTGATGTAATGGATGTTGGAGTTTCAGCTGAACTAATATCAATAATTGTAACAATGTTATTAAAAAAGGAATGATGTTAATATTTTTAGGTGTTTTTATACTTTTGTGATTTTGAAGATAAATACACAGAAATGGAATTTCTGTTTATTTCCCAAATGATTAAACAATATTTATTCAAAATGAGAACTTAAATTATAACAAAGAAAAATTTTCAAGACGTTTTTCGGAACATGTTGAATTGTGTTTAAAATAATTTGAAACAACAATCGTTTTTGATTTCAATAACTTGTCTATAGCTCTGGAAAAATAATCAAATAATTCAAATTCAAAAGTTATACAAATATTCTAAATGGTTATGATATAGAGTATACAATGAAAAAACTTGTAGTTTCAAAGAGTGTATTAATTTAATTTAAAAAGCCATATAATAAAACGCAAAGCTCTTAATTGTAAAACAAACTATCAAAAAAAATAGAAAGTAGTGTAAACGAACATATAGAGTTGTGTGTAACCTATTTGAATAATATGAATTCTGGACACAATGATATTTTTGGTGTTGACAACACATGGTTGAAAACATCAAAATAACAGTGAAATTATCTCACTATCCATTTTGAAAAAAATTAAGTTAAAATGACGGTCATACCAGACATCATAAACACTAAGGAACCATTTTTGAAAAATGTTACAGTGTTGGTAAATGATCAATGTACCAACGTTAAAAAAAACTTTCCCTATTTGGTGAAGTTACTTTTACAAATAATAGTTCCAAAGAAATTAGAGTGTTAAGTAATAAAACCCAAAAGTTCGAATTTTATGACCCAATTCCTCCAATTAAATTTCTGTTTTTTAACAAGGAAGAATTGGCAGTTTCGTGGACACAAAATAATATTGTGTCGTTCAAAGATGTGAATTATTTGAAAATATTAAAACTTGAACATATGAGTAATTTGACATTATCATATGAAATGGAATGTATCTTAAAAATGCCTGATATCAAAATTTAATCATTTAAAAATAAATTTAACATTTGTGGACTGCTGTTTAATCAATTATGCCAAATGCAAAATATGTTATAAAACAAATAAGTTTGATTGAGAAATGTTCTTGAGTGTATTGACAGTTATAATGTCAAAATGTTGATTATAACAATACACAAGACGCAAAAGAAGGTGATTGGATGTTTGATGATTTAAACCACAATTTGGCACAAAATGATTTCAACCAACAATTTTTATAAAAAAGAAAACATAATTAATGATGATAGCAGTGATACAAACGAATATGAAAATGAAAACCATAAATATAAATGTCAAGATTGAGAAGAAGATTATGAATATCAACAAAAATGTGATGAAGACGAAAATTCATATTATGATTATAATGATGATAACAGTAATTGATTCTTTATTGATTTTTTTAAATACAATTTCGGTGTATTATAATAACGATTTATTTTCATAACCTTTATTTATTATCATTGATTTCATTATATATAATAAATAAAAATAGTTAATCAAGTTTTAATGAACAGATCTTATCAACAAAATTTGGACACTCTGTCTAGAACCAATTGATGTGTAGTTTTATCAAAAAATTGAGATCAAATGAAACCATATTTTAACAACTTTTGAATAATTGTAAATATAAATAAATTAAAAAAACTTTAAAACTTAATTTTCTTCAGTTCTTCTATAACTTCATTTATTGTTGGTCTTTCTTTATTTTCATGTTTCCAACATTTATCAATCAATTCGTACTGTTTGTCGCTCATCATTTCTTTCTTTGGCAATCGGTTTCTATTAATAACAAACTCTGCTATTTTCCATGGAAATTTAAATTGTATTTTATTATACGCTTCAGACCACCCAAATGTTTCATACATAGTTACTCCAAATGAAAACACATCAGCTCCCTTTGTATATTTTTCTTGGTTTAACACCTCGGGCGCCATATACACTGGTGTTCCAATACCTTTTGTGAATGTCATGTTGGTCATCATCAAATTGATGTTTCTTGATGATCCAAAATCAGTCAATTTTCCATTCACTTTCTCGTCGACATCCAACGAGAATACCAATACGTTATCTGGCTTGATGTCTCTATGTAGAATACCATTTGCTTGTAAATATGAAATACCATTTGCAAGGTCCATCATGATTTTGACTCTGACACTAAATCGAGGCATTCCATTGATTTTGGTTCGATTGATCAAGTCCTGTAAACTTCCATATTGTGCAAATTCGGTGACCATACATACTCGGTTTGGAATAAAAACAGCACCATAAAAGTGGACGATATATTCACTCCTAAATTTGTTTAACATTGACACTTCATTTGAAAATTGTTTCATTTGTTCTTCCGCATCACCACCTTCTAAACTTTTCATCTTTTTGATTGCAACGATGTTGCCTCTAAACGAACCCTTATACACTATACCAAACGAACCTTCGCCCAATTTCTTCTCTGTTATCAACTCGTCATAATCCAATTTAGTAGAATTTTCAGTTGTAAGTGTGATTTTTAAAGAGACTGTTTTCGTCTCTCCTTTTTTTAAGTCTAATGTCACTATTTTTATTTCGTCTGTCATTTTCATTGTGCAAAGAGGTATAATAAACACTTCAAACTCACACGCCTCTCCTCTCTTTAATGTAACCAATTGTGGCACTGTTCGTATTGTGTATTTATCACACCCAAAACGTGTTGTGAGTTGCACTTTTAAAATTCCTTTGCTTTTGTTGCCAATGCAGACGAGTTCTCGACTTTCCTCGTCCACAGGGAGTAATTCACTATCTTCTGAAAATGTCAAACAACTTTTGTTTGATAAAACAGTACCTTCTAACGTGACCATTTTAACATTTGACTTTTTCATTGGAAAGACACAAATGTTTCGCATTTTTACAACTTCTTGGTGCTTTCTGATGATCACTAAAATAACCACAATAATCGAAATTATTAAAAGAATTAACAGAAATACTAAAACCACTGGTAGGGCTATAATAAGTCCATAATTTTTCTTACTTTTACATAGAAAGGTTTCTTTATCCAATTTATATTCCTCTGAACAAGATGAACATTTGTTGTCTAATGACGCAACACAATTGGGAACTTCTGAATAATGAATACAACTTCCACTAGTAAGAATGTGGTTTTCAGAACAATTATAACACAAATCATTTGAACTACACAAAGTACAATTATCTCTGCACTTATAACATAAATGAGAATCCAAATAAAAACCATTTTCACATTCAGAACACCCTTCCGTTGTCTTGTTCTGGCATCCAAATAACTCACTTTGAGGGTTACAATATTTTGTGCTATTTTGTAGAGTTCTGTAATATTCATTTTCACATAAAATGCAATTGCCATCATTTGTACACGTTTTACAAGAAACATCGCATTTCTCACAAGCCTTCCCATCAGAAGACCGCATATATCCATCTTTGCAAACAACACACCCAGTGTATGTTGCCATCACCAAATCACACTTTGAGAGTAAATCGTTAATTTCAATACAATCGCCTTTGTTGTTTGTGTACGAATAAGCATCACATCCAGTACAATATGTTAAGTTCTTACATTTCACACATGGATACTCACATTTAATACATTTGTAGTCTTGAAGGTAATATGTATCAGAGCAACGAACACATCCTTTCGTTGTCTTTTCGATGCAATTTGAAACATCTTCATTCTCTGAATTTGTTTTTATTATTTTGGTGTTTTTTGTTGTCTTGACAATTTCGAGTTGATTGCATTTGTTGTGTTCATTTAAATAAAAATTGGTAATACATTCCGCACATCCAAGAATATTCGAACTCATCTTTTCACAATTTGGAAAGTCGGCTGTAATATTCAGGCATTTGTCAGTCGACTTGTAAAATCCATCCTCACATTTATTACAAGTACTATCATAATTATCGCAATTGATGGTCGAAGAGTCTATGCATATCCCATTGTTGTTGATAGTGTTGTTACACAAAAGACAAATTTCTTGGTTTTGAATTAAACAGCTCATCTCGTTTAACACACAACCCCCATTTATGATATGGTGATTTTCAGAACACTTCACACATTGATTGCCATTTTCTTTAATGCAATTTTGATCAACAAAACACTTCATTTGGTCGGACAGTATTTGTGGCAATGCACATTCATAATCAACTTCTTGTCCATTTGTAAATAAACACAAGCTTCCACTATTACAATTTGTTATCATTTTCCCATCATTTAAAAATCCTTTCTTTGTTTTATAACAAAATGAGTTTTTTGATATTTCACAATTTGTGTTGGCATTACCACAAGAAATGTCATCTATACATTGAAGGCAATTCGTTTTTTGCTCATTTTTTGAAGTTAACTGATATTTACAATTATCGTTTAAATTGCAGTCATTTACAGAAGTGATTACGTCCGTTGAACACTTTTCGCAATTACTTATTTTAAATGTCTCACATTGACTATCGGGCTTTACACACTTTCCTTCAATTAAAATTGTACTGTTACATTCAAAACAAATATTAACAACCTGTGTTATACAATTTTCCATGTTGTTTTTGGATGTTTTAGTGTTCAAGTCGTAATGTTTGTAGTCTACATTTCCCAACAAACATCTTTTTGAATCATTTGATAAAACATAAGGTTGGAAACACTGCACACACTTCTGGGTCATATCTTCGTAAACAGCCTTTTGACAATAGAAAATCGACTCATAAGATTTAATGCATGTTTTTTCATCGTTCTTTACTTCTCCTTCGGGGCATTGTTGGCATTGATTATTATTAACAATATAATCGGTTTTACAGGTTTTACATATTTTACTTTTGCTCGAACAGGTGTCACATTGAGGATCGATTGTATTACATAAATAACAATCTCCGTTTTCTAAATAATACCCATCAGAACACTCTGCACACTTCCATAAAGCTTCATTTTCATCACTCTGTGTATTACAAGAAATACAATGACTCGTTGAAGAACAAGAAATACACATGTTGGATACATATTTATATCCAGAAGTGCAAGATGAACAATAACCACTCTCTTTATAACACCCAGTACAAACACTTTCACATGGTAAACAACTGCTAATTCCACCTTTAGAATATGTCATTGCTCCACATTCATTACAAAGTTGAAGAGAAGAAACATAACCATACCCAGCAGAACATCTCAAACACTTCCCATATGTAGCTTGACAAGAAGAACACGATGTTGAACATGCTTTACAAGAAGTTTTACCTTCTACATCTTGGTATGTCATATCTGAACAAGAAACACATTTTGAATTTTGAGAGTAAAACCCAATTCCACATATTTCACATTTTCCAGACGATGAAAGACCATACCCATCGATACATTGTTTGCATTTACCATTTGTTGAGTAACATCCAATACATAGAGAACTGCATGGAATACACGAAGATGATTTTTCGAATGCATATTCTCCAATTTTACATTCAGTGCAACTTGAACTCTTTTCTTTGGAATAATAGCCTGCAGGACAATTATCGCATTTTGTTGTATCTGAATTACTTTTTGTACCAGACGGACACGTCTGACAATATCCATTAACAATGACATATCCACTAATACACTTGGAACACTTTCCAGTAGTTTTTTCACACGGAGTTTCACAATTATAATCACATCTTTGACACTCAACTGATGTTGTTGATTTGGTAAAATAAAAGGATGGACAGTCCAAACACGAAGTTTGTTGTAATTGATCATTGTATTTTCCGATTGGACATCCAACACATTTGCTACCAGAACTGTAATATCCAGCTTGACAAACAACACAACTACTTCCTGAAATACCATATCCATTATTACAAGAAGTGCAATGTCCATTTGTTTTGTCACACGTCTTACACATGGTGTCACATTTTAAACAATTAACTGAGCCACTTGAAGAGTAAGTCATATCAGGACATTGTGAACAAACCCCTCCATTCGTGTAAGTTCCTGCAGAACAAATCGAACAAGAACCTCCCACTAAAACGTGACCCGAGTGACACGTTTTGCAATTTCCATTTGTGTTGTAACAACTTGCGCAAGAAGAATCACAATTCCTACACGATGAAGCACCTTCATTGGAGTATGTATTTCCGGTGCACGCAGAACAAGATAGAGTTCCGCCACTTGAGTAATAACCAGCTTGACATATAAAACAATTGGGATATGAATACCCAGGTTTACATGATGTACAAGTACAAGAAGACGAACAAGAAGAACACGAAGAAGATGTACATGAAGAACATACACTTGCTCCAGAAAAACTGCACGTGTTGGTGCCACAAGATGTGCATTTCGTAGCTCCTGCATTAGAAAATGTTCCAGCAGGACATTTAAAGCAGCTGACTGAATTTGAAGACGGAGCGTATTGGCCAGCAGAACAAGCTGTACAACTTGATGCTCCATTTGCCGAGTACGTTCCAGCCGAACACGAAGTACAACTGATTGCATTTGAAACAGCATAAGTTCCCGCTTGACATTGATCACAACCACTCTTCAGGGAATTCGGAATTGATCCACTGGCGCACACTGAACACGAAGAAGATCCCTCGGGTGAGTAATAACCTGCATCACAAGCAGAACAAACAGAAGCTCCTGTATAAGAAAACGTACCCGATGGACATTTTGAACATGTATTAGCATTTTTTGTTGAAGAATAAGTTCCAGCTGGACATGAAATACAAGTCGAAGATGAAACGTATTGACCAGTTGGACAAGAATGACATATTGTTGCTCCCCGAGATGAAATGGTTCCAGAAGGACAGGCAGTACAAGATTTTGCTGCTTTAAAAGAAGAATATGTATTCGCTGGACACAAAGCACAGAACGTCATTTCTGGGTTTTTGTAAGTTCCTGGACTACATTCAGTACAACTATTATCTACTGCTTGAAACCCAGCAAGACAGTTTGTACATTCTCCCGAACAATCTAAAGACATTAATCCCCTGTCACACATATAACACTCACGACTTGATCCACCCGGGGAATAAGACCCTTCCACACAACAATGGCACTCGTTGTCTGCTCCCAAATAATTGCCTTTTTCACAGAAAAAAGAAAACGAAGAATAAAATAATTGGAAGAAAACGAACAATAAACATTTCATCATACCAAAATACCAAAAATAAATAAATAGTTATATAAACCTGTTTTTTCTTTACATCGCTTATATAAAAGTGCTAATTATAAAATTTGGAACAACTATTTTTTTCTTCTTAAAAACAACATTACAAGTATTTTCATTAAATATAGAAAAAATTGATTTTTCAAATTTTAAATTAAAATGTTAAAACTTTTTATTATTAATTTAATTAATTAATATTAATTTTATTATAATCAAATTATTTTTAAAATTGTTTACAGAAATTTTCAAAATATTATATAAAAATATTAAAATAAATAACCAAAAATATAATAAGTTACCATGACAAGATTTTGGTGTGAAATTTTAAATTCAATTTTCTTTCAATAAAGAAACCATCTAACATGGTAAATTATTATTATTGATACAGTTATACAAGTTGGCCTTGGTGGAAAAGCTATTTGTGATTGTTTTTTTACATTATTTTTATTAAATTAAATAATAATAAATAATGATTGTTATTTACATATTTTTGATTTGTTATAAAGTATCCAGCACCATTTTCTATAATGTTTTTGATAAGTAACTATTAAATATAAAATTGTTATTATTTTATTAACTACATTTTTAAAAACAATCTTAGAAGGCAAGAATTTTCCAAAAAACCGAAAATGTTTTTATATATTTGATATTTTTTCGATAACGACAAATAATTGTTTAGTCATTTTAGAATTTATTAACAATAATTAAATAATTTAAAATTATCACATCTATTAACCACATTTTGTTGTTGACTTGTTAACTAAATATAGAACATTTTAATGTTTTTCCTTTTCTAAATATTTATGCTATGTTTACATAAAATTCTGTTTAATGCTATTTTCGCATTATATTATTATATATTATATAAATTTAAGATAATAAAAATAATATAAATCAAAAATGATTATTAATTGGCTCAGAGAGTCAACTTGGTGTACTCTGAAGCATTGTGATGTCTCTTGTTCTTGATGAATATGGCGACTCCTGCAATGACACTTCCAATTGCAAAAACGCAAACAACCCCAAGAAGCGACCCAATGATTATGGCAACTGTTTTGGTTGATTTGTTTTCAGACTCAAATTGAACAGCACCTTTTTGTGTGATTTTGTAGTTTGCAGTCATGTTTGCGAAACTGACATTGTTGAGTGTTGTGTTGATGAGTGTGACGTTGTGGAATGTTGTGTTACCATTTCCAGCGAGTATCAAAGTTGAATTGATGAAAGTTGTGTTGTCAAAAAGCACGCCATGGATTGTTGAGCTGTTGAAAGTCGAGTTTTCAAAGTGTGAGTTTTTGAATTCGATGTTTGTGAGTGTGTTGTTGATCACAGTTGTGTTGGTTGCATTGACGTTTCTGATGACAACGTCATTCAAAGTGTTGTTGAAGAATGTCACGTTTCTCATTTGCACTTTGTTGAATGTGATATCAGACATGTTGCATTTGAAGAAGACAACAGATGCAAGCAGACTTGTTGTTTGTGATGCATTTGTGATGTTGTTGTGTTTACCGATGAATGAGAGTGTTGACATGTTTGACATTGAGAAGAGTGATGACTTGAATACACTCTGTTTGAAATCAACATCACTCACACTTCCATTCACAAATCGGAGACCTGTCATTTTAGCCAGTGTAACAGTTGTTTGGTTGATTGATGAATTTGTGAATATTGTGTTGATGAGTGTTGTGTTTCTCAAGTCTGTGATTGTGACATTCCACTTGTCGAATTTGGTTGAGTTGAGTGTTGAGTTGTGAGCCATTGTGTTGGTGATGGTGATGTTTCTCTTTTCAACGGCAGTGATGTTGGTGTTTGCAACAAAAGTTGATGATTTGTTGAAGTGCACAACACCGTTGTCTGTGCACTTTGTGTTGTTTTTGAGCCACTTTTCATCAACAATGAGAGTGAATCCACCACATGTGATGTTGTGGTATTTATTGTTGTCATCGACTGGTGTCACATAGTCGTCACAATCAGCATACTTTGCGTTGTTTCTCTGATCCAATGTGATGTTAACAACACTCCCATTGCACACCACAGTGATGTATGTTGTGTTTGTGTCAACAGTTGTGTTTGTTGGGATGTAATCGGTGCAATTGACAAAACGTGGTCTGTCAACTTTTGTCACATTGAAGAGTGTTCCATTGCAGTTGATTGTTGTGTTTGTTTTTGTTGTGGACATGACGTAATTTGTGCAATCGATGTAATTTCTTCTTGTGTTTGTTGTGATGTTGAGAAGTGATCCTTTGCATTCAATTGTGGTGTACTTTTCAGTCTCAGTTTGCTTTGAGAATGCTGTGAGACAACAGATCAATACAAGTCCAAACATGTTGCAATGATCTGTATGTGTGTGCTTATATAGTGTTGTTTCGCACACAACCATCCTGGCTTCAGCAGGACTGCATCTCTGTATTTGTTTTAACATTTTGTGTGATTTACTTGAAATTCATATCAATAATCAGGAAGCGTGTCCACTTTATAATAACATTATTTTTGGTTTAAAACATCACATGTTGACAAATTGACAATTCGACAAGTGGTTGCACTTATATTTTAATTATGTGTTTATTTTCAAAATACTTGGTTTTACCACAACAAAATTATAGGCGATATTTGTGTTGATAACATGACAAATCTGACAAACCAAAACAAAAATAATTCCACGACTTTTTACAAAATACACAAAAAGTATATTGACAACTTCCTGCCCATCACAACCAAAGAGAACACAACAAAAGTGCTTGTGAAATATAAAATTTATAAAATAGTTGATGTTTTAAAACAATTTATATTCACCGATAATCAAACCAACAATTAATAACTCTAAATAATTATAAAACTCTTAATTGTATTTATTTAATCAGTTCGTTGTCAAATAGACAACAATCCTAAGTTGAAAATAATATTTAGTGGTTTATATATTAAAACTAAATATTTCTTTATGAAAAAAAATTCTGTATTATGAAGAAACCCACAAAATTAGAAAAACATCGGGGTTATTTGGTTACTTCGTATATTGACAACCACCAAAACGGTTTTTAATTTTTTATTTTAAAATAAAATTCTATTTAAAATTGATGTTGAAATAACTAGGTTTGTTAAATTAATAATAAAAAATAGAATCCTGATATTTGTTTTGTTGTTCCTGTTCATTCAAATATTATTAATTAAAAAATAAATGTGTTTTTTGCTTAAATGATTCTGTTCTCTTTGATAAATAATTTTCTTTTTTACAATTGCAGTAATTTAGTTGAAATAAAAATAAAATCGTTTGTCTTGTATGTTGATAAGATTGTACTATTTTAATGTGTTTTTGTTTTAATAAATACTGAAAAAATCAACATTATTTACTTTATAAATACCAGTTAAAATGATTTTAAAAATAAACACACATAAACAATAAATTTCATTTACAATCTTAATAGTAAAAATAACATTTGAAAACATATTAAAAAATAATTTTAAGCATATTTATAACCCAATACTTTTTATTTAATTTTTACTAAAAAATCAACATTATATTTTTTCACAATAAAGCAAATTGTATTTTTTGAAAATATACACTTTTATTCTTACAGTTTGAATAAAAATTAAATAAAAACAACTAAAAAGAAATAATGTCGTTGGTTGTCAATTTATAATATAAAATAAAGGCAGGTTAATTATGTGATATTGTTTAATATTGGGTTTTTAAAAATAAACCACACACAATTGGTGTGCATGGAATACATTATAAACCCTAAAAAAGTCAAAAATATATGAAAAGATTCAAAGTGTTTGAATGTCAGCGTGATATTTATATCTAATCGTATTTTTTATCGATAAGAAACACAATAATTAAAAATAGAAAAACATAGAGATATTTAAACACGAATTTATTAATCAATCACAACATTCACGGGTTGTTTGTTTTTTGCACAATAAAAAACTAACCACGGACAGCGATAGATGAAAAAAAATGAAATCAAAAATACTTATTCGAAACACCATCATATTTATTACTCTTATTTGACAAACTCGTCAAATGATTACAAGAACGCACCAGAGAAGTTAAATTTAAAAACATTGGAGAAGATCAGATTTGCGCCAAGTGCTTCAAATAAACATAAGTAAAAATTGTTATCACTAACAACATAATACACTTCTTTGGAATCAAAGGAAGTTGAACAGCACTCGACATGGGTGTCTACACAGCACAATCACAAGTCGCATTGACTGGAAATATAGTCGAAGTATATTTCGATATTGAAAAGCGTGAGATTGGTGTACCTGGTGACTGGAAGGATTTCATCGCATTAACAACAACTAACTGAATTTACGATTTCACTTCTATTTATCTTTTTATCATCAAATTCAAATTACATATTTTGTTCACATTTTAAAAAGAGACATGTATAAAAAAGACTGGAACGTTTCATTGTGTGAACAACATGAAACTTTTGAAACACATAAAAAAACATGTCATTAGTAGTCATCCCAATGACCGTGTGCAACTCCATCACAATTATCTCGGGCCGCGCATTCTTGCACTACACAACTCGACACTTTTTGTAATTTTTTGTATTTATTTTGATAATACAGATCATAGCACACGGCACACCCAAACTCCAAAAACTACTTGCATTCGTCAAGTGTTGTGTTAATAAAACACTTCTTATTTTCTCTTGTTATCAATTCAACATCTTCATAAATCCAACCTTTGACAATACAATTTGCATAATTTGAAACAGTAATAATACAATTTAAACGCTTCTCTTCATATTTCAAGCGATCTGATATGATTGCTCAAAATAAGGCACCATCGGCATTTCCACATACTGTAACTTGAAACAGTTTGCATTTCTCGGCAAGTTGACCAACATAAATACAATCATCGTTTGTTGTATCAAAATAATAATAAAAAGCACATGTAACACAACTTGTTGCATTTTTAAAATTGAGCAATTTTTGTCACACAAAAGACATTCAGATGATACACATCATAACATTTAGCACAATATGTGGTGATGTTTTATTTGTCGTACAACATCTTCGCTTCAGTGTCACGATAAAGACAAACGCATGCTGATGAATAGCAATTGTGTAAGTTCTCTTCAGAATTGTTTTTTTGTTTTCATCAAATTTGTATTTTTCTTTAAATTAAAAACATTTAAGTAAAAAATACATTTTGATATATCAACACAATAACACAACATGTGTTGATATAAAAATGCAATATTTTATATATAAAGTGCATTGTTTTTCGTTGTTTGTTCTGATTACAACAGATTTGTGATAAATATTCTCTTAACATTTTGCACAACTAAAAGATAAAACCCATTAGAACACACGGTAAATTCACTTAGTGTGTATATATAACAGTTTTAAAGTAAAAACGACTTTCATTAACAATAATCGACTTTTTCGTGTTATTAATTAAATTTTTCTTGGTTGTTTTTATTGTTTATCAGTTTGATATTATCGACAAGTTTTTGGTTTGTAAATTTAAGTAAATTGAATGAACGCTTTTATTTGGATTCAAAATTGTTCTTTTTTTATTGACTATTAAAAGAGAAAGGACG